GGGGTCGGCCTCGGCCTCGGCCGCTGCCTCGGAGCCAGCGTTGCCCGGGCGCCGCCGGGGTGGGCGAGCGCCGTACCCGCAGCGCCCGTGCGGGCTGCGAGCAGCCTGGGGCCGCCCGAGGCAAGGCCGCCGGCCCCCGCCTGGGAGCGCCTCGGAAAGCCCGGGTGGATTGCTCCCATCCCAGCAGTCTGCTCGCAGGCCCCCCCTCTCTCCGGCATCCCTTGCCGTGGGGGTGCCGTTGACAGGAGGGGGCGGTGGAGCGCCTTGGGCCAGATGTTTCTGGGAGGGAGATAAAGTGGCCTGTAGAAGCGACTGCGTTGGCTAATGACACGAGCGGGGTCTCTTGTTGCGGTGACACAGCAGTGGTGTTTGTATGCTGCAATGAAACAGGCTTAAAGACAGTCTGGTCTCATTCTCTGTAACTGGTACCGCTGGTTTTCTCTGCCTTGAAAGAGACAATGATAAACCCGTCCAAGGCTTGGCTGGTACTACCAGCATATAGAGAAGAGGTGGCTGCCCTGCCAGCATCTGCAGGGCGTCTGTTACTGAATGCTGTGGCACACAAGTGCTATCTTTCCTCCTCCATTTCTTCTGTGTAAAAGGAGTGAGGAGTTTTGTTTTGTTTCAGGGCAGCAGGCCTGGAAGATTGCCTCTGCTCAAGCAATTTGCTTAGCATTAGAAAAGAAAAAAATATCCCAACATGTCAGTCTGGAAAAGCTTAATTGATCTGGGTGTGGTTTATTCTTAGTGGCATAGAAGGGACAGGGACAAATCAATCGGGGACCGTTCCAGAAGACAGAAGTTGTATGTTCTTGGGTCTCCTTTCTTCTTTTTCTTGTAACTTCATTGTTAGGGCAAATGCTTTTTTTGAAACTCTATGATGCGTTGCTTCCTAAATGGTGGACTGTCTCGATATCATAACAGCTGCTTTATAGGAAATGCCTGATTCTGTTCAACTAACACTGTTGTGCCTTCAGCATTCCTTTTTATTTCTGTAGGCTCCTGACGGCCATATTTTTCTGGAAGCCTTTTCTCCAGTTTACAAATACGCACAGGATTTTTTGGTTGCCATTGCTGAGCCTGTGTGCAGACCAACCCACATTCATGAGTACAAGCTGACTGCTTACTCGCTGTATGCTGCTGTTAGTGTTGGCTTACAAACAAGCGACATCACAGATTATTTACAAAAACTGAGCAAAACTGGAGTCCCAGATGGAATAATTCAGTTTATCAAGGTAAAACTATTTTATTGGCATTGGAAATATATCTACTGCTACTAGTGAAATCCTTTCCTGCTGCTTCTGCTTAATTGATTTTTTTTTTTAAATCATTCATTGTTTTTACTGTCTTATTCTATTTTGTCACTGTTTCGAGAGAACAGAGGCTTCATCTTATTTTTTTTGTCTTTTTCTATAGTATATTGCTGCACACATACTATTTTCATGATATATCCTGCATGGGGTTTATACCTTAAAAAAAAAGCAAACTTAAGCATCTGTGCACACTTGCAGCCAGTAGGAATTGTACGTGGGGAAAGTTTCCTCAGATTTGCTCCGGAACAAGACTGTGAACATGGGAGGCAGTCTGGAATAGCCAGGCACTATAAAATATAGCCTGCCTTATCCTGCAAGTATGTTCTTGCAGTCTGGGAAGCAGATTGGAATTGGATATAAAAACTGAATATCTGTGACTCATCTTCTGTGTCAGGTGATGTGTGCGTCTTCTGAAAATTCCTTTTCAGGTTTGTTCCGTAAGCATAGCAACATTACAAGTAAATGTTTTATGATACTATGCTTCCCCACAAAAACTTAAACTGCATTGCAGCATTTGGTCCCACACATGGAATCACTCTTTTGCCTATTCCTAACGACTGCTCTTGTCTGTTTGTAGCTGTGTACTGTCAGCTATGGGAAGGTGAAGCTGGTACTGAAGCATAACAGGTAAGTGGCTTCTTTCTTAACTAGCATGGCAGAGGAAGTCTTCCAAATGCACAGGTGTGCATAAATGAGTGGTCTCAGTAGCTGCTGAGTCTTACTGCTCCCAGCTGAGTGTAGCATCTGTCAATACAAGATCGCTTTTTCAGTTGTTGAAAGCGTTTAATACATTAGTCAATGAATTCAGTTTGGCTGTCCTGAGCTACTACTGGTTATCATTATGTTTTTAAAAGTAGGTTGCAAATTTTATATTCTAGCTTGTTTCTTTATTGCTTGGACTTGCAATGTATCCTTAAGGTTTTCAGATAATTGTTTCATTCATTCCTTAGTAATTTACCTGAGCCTGGTTATACAAGTTATTCTACCGCTGTTCTTCAGTCTTGTGTATTCTGACTTGTAGTCCATTAGTCAGGAAGGGTAAGCAAATCCATTGGCAAGAGGTATATGCTTGTTGCAGGGTTGAATCTGATTTGTTTTAAAGGTATAAGATAACGTTGGAAGGGACCTTGAGAGGTCAGCTAGTTGAGAGCTGACCAATTTTATCTAAACCTGTGATTCTGTGGTAGGAAGAGGGAAAGGAAGGAGACAGCAGAAACCCGAAGCCTATGTCTGTACCTTGCCTGTGTTTTCTCTTTATTCCTTTTATTTCTTCTGCAAAGTTCTTTGTTGTCCGGCAGCCATGGATAAGCCCTGGGACTATAATCTAATGCTATGCTTGTGCTGCTGCTTTTTTGAACCTGCTGCTTTGGGTAGAACTAACGCTAGTATTAGTTACTAGCAGGTTTTTGTCCTCTTCCTAGGTGTTTCTGAGAAAAAGATTTCTCCTATGCTGCTTCAGACTTAAGTGTCTCTTGGCTCATATTTTAACTGTGACCTCCAAGGAGCATCATTATTGATGAATTTGCAGGGAGAGAAACAATTTCAGGATGCACTCATTTAAATTTTTAGATGGCTTGTGTTTTGGAGGTTTTAGATTTTTGTCTTTGGGGCTTTTTTGGTCCCATGGCCAGGACTTTAAAACATCATATTCAGTGTTTTCACAGACTTGCCTCAATTCAGTCTCAAAAAAATTGACTTGTGTCACATGTCATAAATAAGACATGTATGTGAGAGGTCTCTCTAGGCAGTTCTGCTGGAGTTTTCCCACTCACATTATGTTAGAGAACATTTGAGTAACACGGATAACGGCAAAGTGCATGACAGTTTTGGTATGAGGCATCTTTTAAAAATTTTGATTGCCATAATATCTTTATTTTTAAATTGCCACCCCCAAGACTGGATACTTGAGAGTGCATCTGGGATAGCTATATATTTAAGCATCAGTGCCACTATTCCTGTAAGTTATTCAGTTGATTAGTTCATAAAAATAGGGGGGTTTGTTCTTAATTTTAGGTATTTTGTGGAAAGTACCCACCCTGATGTCATTCAGCAGCTTCTGCAAGACCATGTAATTAGGGACTGTCGCCTGAGAAATGCTGAGGGTGAAGAAA